AAAAAAAAAAAAAAAGTGAGAACTTTAAGACTGCCCTTAGAGGGAATAGACTCTGGAGAGAAATTTCACCAAGAAAACATTTTTAAAGAATTGGTAATTCTCAGACAGCCCAAATTGTGTCACAGATTAGTACAAGAAGAAATGACTCAGGAAGTCACTGGTGAGAAATTAGGAGACAGACGTCACTGAGGGCAGAATCTTCTAGAAGGAGCTTGCTCAGCTTCCTACTAGCTGTTCCCAGGGCTTGGAAAGGGACTCGTCTCCTCATTGGCTCCCTGGCTGCCCCAGCCTCTGGCTGGGAGGGAGCACAGATGGGACTCATTGCCCAGCTCCCCACCAAGCTCGCAGCACCAAGCTTGTGTCAGTTCTCCTCACTGGGTGGAAGGTCTCAGGGCCTCCGGCAGTGGGAAGTTCACTTCTGTTTCTGCTTTAGCACAGTTTAATAAGATGCAGAGTGAGAAAAACTAGCCAAGGGCTAAGCTGTGGCAGAAAATATGGGGAATTTTTTCTTTGTATTCCAAGAGGCAGTGCTGCACAAAGGGCTAAGAGTGTGTCTTGCTACAAGACTCTGGGTTCACATTCCCGCCAAAGCACTTTCCACATCTGTAACCTTAGGCAGCTTCTAATTGCCTTGTGCACCTCGGCTACCTTTTTCATAAAAGAGGGATTTTACCAGTGCTTACCTCTTTGATCTATGTGAGCACTTACCTCTTTGAGTTATTACATGTGGAATACTTAAGACAATTCCCCTAGTAACTCCTCCTTAATGAATGATTCTACATCAATAATAATGTTAAGTTGTAAAGAGCATGGGACAGAGGTAGTCAAGCAGTAATTCTAAAATACTGAATTTTTGCTGAAACTTTTGGGGTAAGTAGGAGGTAGATTGAAAAGTAGGCTATAGAAAAATAGGCTCAGAATGTAACTTGTTGGTAGAGCACTTGCCTAGCACAAATGAGACCTTGGGTTCAATCTCCAGCATCGCACATACACAAGAGTGAAACCAAAGGCCCTGTGCCCTGTGTGTGGGTAGGATTTATTGATGAGTGGGAGTAGGAGGGTGGTTTGAGAAATGGGGGTGGGGCTGAGGAAGGCACAGCTAGCGTTTCCCACGTGGGCCTGGTCTGTGCGAGAGCGCTTTCCAAGCATTACCGCATCCGGCCATCAGAACTGTTTCTCCCAGGGAATGCATAGTTGTGGAGTAGTTGAGGGCACTGACTGAGGTCCAGGTGCTGGACAGGCCAGCCCAGAGCTGACTGCAGGGCTTGCTTTGGGCTGAAGGCCCTGTTGCTTGGCCAGTGCAGGTCATGGCAGGACCAAATGTGGCCTCCTTTTTTCCTCCCCAGCATCTGAGCGAGGCCTTAGCTCTCAGCAACTTTGTCCTTCTTTACCACCACCTCCTACTCAGATCTGAAGAGCCAAGGGCCATCATTATTTCTTAATCAGTCTGCATCAGACTGTCTCCAGGATTCTTTTCTTTGAGAAATAAAATCATCAAGCCATGTCTAGTGTACAGGAAAGCCCCAAGAGTGGAATCAGATGAGCTAGGCACTGATAAATAGGCTGCTTAGGTGTGTTGAGCTTCGGTCCTCCCATTCTTACTTTGAAAAAAGAAAACTGGTCCTGGGAGAGGTTACCTAGTTTAACCAAAGTCCTGTAGCTACAAGTACTCCAAGGGCTCAAATCCAGGTCTGTGGCATCCTGAAACCTAGCTACTTTCATCTCTTTCCCCCGTGCCCCACAACCTGTGAGGTACTGGAATGAATTCCAGGTGTGCAATTCTTAGTCCCTACTCAGAAACACTCAATACTTTTCTTCTCGATCTCCTTCTTGGCCCCCTTTTTTTCCACACTAAGTGTTGAACCCAGGACCTTTGCACTGAGCTATAGCCACAGCCCCCCGTCTGCCTTTTAAAAATTTTTTTAAATACTGAGATAGGGTTTCTCTAAGTTGCTAATTTGCCCAGGCTGGGCTTGAACTTGATATTCTCCTGCCTTGGCCTACCAGAGTGCTGGGGTTACAGGTGTGTGCCACTGTGCCAGGCTTCCTTCTGCCCATTCTCCATGTACCATTTCCCTTCTTTCCCTGCAAAAGGAAGCATCCTATTTCACTACAGTCTTGGCCATTAAAAGTGCTAGTTTAAGAAGAGCTCACTGGAAAGGGCTCTCTGTGCTCTTGCTCCCTTGGAGGCTTCCAGCCTGGGAGAGCTGGGGAAAAGGGTATATTGGGGAAATGCTTTATGAAACATCCCTGTTGGGACTGATATGAGCAGCGGCTTTTATTGAATTAGCATAGACCTATTTCACCTGAGCTGTCAGTTGTAGCCACCGAACCTTGCTCTCATTTTCTTTCTTCAGTTGTCTTATCTCTGGGAATTTGTGTGTAGATGGCAATAAAACCCTCAGGTCAGCTTCCTTGTCTGCCTGGGAGGAGGTAACTTCCCAAGGGAAGTTGCTGGTAATGTAACTATCAGAGTACAGCCCCCGGGAGGGGCAGACCAACCTGGCCTCCCTGGAGCCCGTCCAGTTGGAGGACTAGCCCAGTCCTGGAGTCTCCGCAGGCCTAGAATGTGGGCGAGCCCCCTGCCGACCTCCCCTGCCTTTCCTGTCCCTTGACCCTGCAGCTCCAGGCGCTCCAGGCGCTCCCTGCTGATCTCATCCCAAGGTGCCACACGGTGTCTTTATCCTAGGAAAGCCCCAGCCAAAGCAAGGTTGGGAGTTTGGTCTTCTCGCCTCCTTCAGGGGTTGCCTTCTCCTTGACTGATCAGTGTGAGGCTGAGACGCTGACTTCCCACCTTAGCTGAGGAGAGGCCAGCAGCCCCCCAGCAAGATTGAGAAAAAAGAAGTGCTTTTTCAGTGAAAGGACTTTCTGGCCATGGTAGACGGGTGAAGGCTGTTAATTTGTCTTGGATCGGATAGTACTGCAGGGTGGATCCTTTCAAAGCACAGGAAAGGCTGAGGCCAGGAGAGGCAGGATGACCTGTTGGGCAAGGAGTGGGTCAGAATGGCAGGTGCAGGGCTGCTCCAGGGTCCCCTTCTGCCTTCCCAATAGGAAGGGCAGGTGTGGGAGGGAGTGGAGGCCCCATAGCTGGGGCAGGAGGTATGAAAGGGTGAAAGTGCCAGCTAAATGACCACTCTGAAAGAATTTGTAACCCTATTTTCACTTTATGAGGGGGAAGGGGTGTTAACTAATGCTAATTAGAAATTCCCCAAACCAATAAAGAAAAGAAAAAACCAAAAACGTACTTTGTGTAAGAAAGCCCATTATGTAAGCCACTTCCTATATATGCCTACTTAGCAGGAATAGCAGAATGTACACAACTCTGTTGATTGGGCTTTCTCTTGTTACACCCCCTCATCCCACAGGCATGTCCAGTCTTCTGGAACTGCCTTGATGACCTTGAGCCGTGCTGCCAAAGCCTGTTCTGGCAGCCACACCTAGCCTCTCTGAGGGTGCCCTGGGCTCTTTCCCAGCTCACTGCTCTGGTCATACACTCCGGCCTCTCTCTCTGGACTTCAGCTTCCTCACATACAATGCCAACACCTTTTTCTCCAGCCCTTACTTCTCACCAAGCTTCAGAGGTGATCATCGACTTGGCTGTGATCATCTCCTCTTGGACGTCCTGCAGGGGCTTGGCCTTGAGGAGGCCAGAACCAGGCACACATTCTCTCCTTTCCTGAGTTGTCTGTACATGGTGAGACCATCCACTTAAGCTTGAAACTCGAGTGGTCTCTGTCCCCTTCCTCACACCCACATTTGCAGAACACCTGGTAAACATGCCTCAGATCCATCCTGTCTTCTCCACCCCACCCCACTTTCAGGTCCAGACAGCAACTGGGGTAAATGAACACCTGGGTTGAGGGATTCCCAGTCAGCTCAGGGTTCTTGATTCACTCTGGTCTCAGCTTTCTGCTTTCTCCAGCAGAACCCGGTAGGGTTCTCTCCATTGGAGCTCAAGGTCAAGGTTCCCACCCCTAGTTACAAAGGTATGGAAAACTGACCCCTGAAGGACAAGGCAACATCTTGTCATTCCAAGGTCAAAATTAGGCACAGTTAATACAGCTTATCACAAAATACTATGGCTCTATGTATCCCCATCACTTTATAACCGAATTCTTTTGAAGGCAAGAGCTTTGTTTGTCTTTGGATAGCATCCTGATGGGCATGTGGTAGATACCCAATAAATGTTGGAATAATTTATTTTCCCTTAACACTTAATATTTCTTAATTAATTTTTACTTTTTTCTCACAGAATGAAGATATTCAAATGTTGTTTTAAATACATCCTCCAGCAGAAAGTTTTCATCCTGTTTTTAACCCTATGGCTGTTCTCTCTATTAAAGCTTCTAAATGTGGGAAGGCTCCTCTTCCCTCAGCGAGGCATTTACTTGGTGGAGTACTCCTTAAGCACCTCGCCTTTTGTAAGAAACAGGTACACCCACATTAAGGATGAAGTCAGGTATGAAGTTAACTGTTCTGGGATCTATGAGCAGGAGCCTTTGGAAATTGGCAAGAGCCTGGAGATACGGAAACGGGATATCATCGACTTGGATGATGATGACGTGGTGGCAATGACCAGTGATTGTGACATTTATCAGGCTCTAAGAAGGTACCATCATAAGCTCGTGTCAAGGGAGGAGAAGAGCTTCCCAATTGCTTATTCTTTGGTTGTCCATAAAGACGCAATTATGGTTGAAAGGCTCGTCCATGCTATATACAACCAACACAATATCTACTGCATCCATTACGACCTTAAGTCATCCGATGCCTTCAAAGTGGCCATGAACAACTTGGCTAAGTGCTTCCCTAATATTTTCATTACTTCCAAGTTAGAGGCTGTGGAATATGCCCACATTTCCAGACTCCAAGCTGATTTAAATTGCCTGTCAGACCTTCTGAGGTCTTCAGTTCCATGGAAATATGTCATCAACTTATGTGGGCAAGATTTTCCCCTGAAGTCAAATTTTGAATTAGTGTCAGAGTTGAAGAAACTCAATGGAGCAAACATGTTGGAGACAGTGAAACCCTCTAACAGTAAGATGGAAAGATTTACTTATCACCATGAGCTGAGACGAGTGCCTTATGAATACATGAAGCTACCAATAAGGACGAACATCTCCAAGGAAGCACCCCCTCATAACCTTGAGATATTTGTGGGCAGTGCCTATTTCATTTTGAGCCGCACATTTATTAAATATATTTTCAACAGCTCCCTCATTGAAGACTTTTTTGCCTGGTCTAAGGATACATACTCCCCCGATGAGCACTTCTGGGCTACTTTAATCAGGGTACCAGGTATACCTGGGGAGATTTCCAGGTCAGCCCAGGATGTGTCTGACCTACAGAGTAAGACCCGCCTTGTCAAATGGAATTATTACGAAGGCTTTTTCTATCCCAGTTGTACTGGCGCTCATCTTCGGAGTGTTTGTATTTACGGGGCTGCAGAATTGAGATGGCTCATAAAAGATGGACATTGGTTCGCAAATAAATTTGATTCTAGGGTTGATCCTATCTTGATTAAATGCTTGGCAGAAAAGCTTGAAGAACAACAGAAAGAGTGGATCACTCTGTCTTCAGAAAGGGTATTAATGGATAAAAATCCCTCAATCACATCTTCATAGTAAAATGATGAAAATATGAAGATCTCTGGTATATCAGAGTTAATACAGAAGTGTTTACTATACTATGTCCACTACCATTTGAAAACAATCTTCTCATAGTTTGAAAGTCATCTCAAACTCATGTACTGAGGAAAGACATCTAGACTTTCATGTTACAAGCTTAGAGTTGGTTGGTTTTTTCAGTGTTTTGTTTTTGCTTGTAATCTCACTGAACTAAATCAAAGGTCTTAAATAGTCATTTATCAAATATTTATTAAGCACCCACTGCACACCAGGCACTTTTTTAGAAAACATTCAGAAATTAAATCTAAATTGTGATGAGTTGCACAATGCCCTCAGGAAGTCATGGCTTACCCTCTTCATACGCTGATCTCCATATCTTCGTATTCTCCACGTAATGGTGAAGATTCTGCTGAAGACAGAATATGAGGTGAACCTGTAAACCACCCACTTCAGAATAGTATGTAGATTCAGTGCCAGCATTCTGCTTGTCTCTTAATTCAGGGTTGTAGATGTTTCTTAACCATTAAAATCTTAGAGAGACTCCACTACCTCAGCAAAGCTCAGAGAATTGTCTGATTGCCTGCTTGCCAAAGCTTCATTCACCTTTTGGTGCCTCATTGTTCATTTCAAGGTCGAGGGGACCATGTGTATGTGGGTGGCAGGACAGCAGCAGGGCTGTTTGTGATGGGGGAGCAGGGTGGATGTGCCTGAGAGGAAAACAGAGTTTATTCAGCTTTTGCACCCTGTCACATATTGTTGTCATTGAAGACTTCTTTTTTTTAACTCAACTGTTTCAGCACATTTACTGACAGAACATAACTGATAAAAGTGTTCAAAGCATCACACACCTATACCTTAAACCTGAGTCTCCTTTTTTAGGTTAGCATTTTAGGCAAAGATGGAACACTCCCTGTGGAATGAGTCCCACTTACGGAACTATCAGTCACCAATTTATCTTGACAACGTTGCATGAAATGTAACTGCATTCTGAACTAATCATTATGCTCATTTAAAAATTTTTCTTTTTTGACCTTTGCGTAAGTGGAATGCAAATTTCAAATAGCAAAAGCTCTAAGTTCATTGTGGTCTTCTTCACAACTCAGATTCAAAGAGAAAAAAGGTAACTTCCCAAGGACACAGCAAGAAGACTAATGCTATATTGTGAAATGCACACCTATGATAATATGTGTGTGCGTGTGTATAAATAAAATACACAGTATAATATATATAGTATGTGTTAGTATATCTAATACTAATATATGTTAGCATATACTACATGTTATATATATGTATTGATGACTGTATATTATACTATATACCATATATATATATACACACACACACACACACACTAATATATGATTTTATTCACATATCCAAATACATGCCCACACTTGCACAATGACTATATTGTGCTGGAACAGGGTCCTGAAAATAGACACTTTTTCTCCAGTCTCTGGGAAATGGTAGAACTCATGTAAAGACGCTTATGTTTTGAAGTCAGCCTCAGGAGTTTCTTAGAGATGTGCTCATTAGTCAAGGCCAAAATAAGACTATTTAGAAGACTGAGTATCTAAGTATTTTTAAAATTATTTATTCTGCATGTAAAATGTAGTTTGCTTGTTTAAATAGTTGACACTAACTGCCAGGGGGCACCACTTGTCTCTCCTGTCTGTCTCTCACTTGTTTGTCCACTTTTTAAATCCCCTTTCAAGTTGCTTCCTTCTTCAGGAAACAAGTCTTACCAAGCCCATTCTTAAGCAGAAGCTGCCCTTTCCAGGAGGGGTTCCTCAGAGGCCCTGAACTGGTTCTTTGGTGTGTGGAATGCCAGACAAGTCCCTGGGCCGTCTGTGAGCCTCGGGTCTGGTTTTTGTTGTAAGCACTTGGGTGCCTGTCCTGGCTTCCTCACAATTATTGCTTTGTTTTGTTTTTTTTGAAAATGGCATATGAAGTGGTTTGAAAATGACATATATTTTGAAATATCAGACTGTAGTAAGTATAAGGCAAACATAGAACCAGCTCCATTGTGAGATTTAAACAGTTACCTTTCCAAGGGAACATTCCATAGAATGGAGCCCACAGTTGCAGAGGCAACTTCTGTCACCAAGTCTGGAACTGAGAAAATCCCCAATCCCAACATTTGGTTGTTTTTTGTTTTGTTTTGTTTTGTTTTTGAGACAGGGCCTCACTATGTAGTTGAGATTGACCTGAAACTCACTATTTAGCCCAGGCTGGTCTCGAACTCACAGTGATCCTCCTGCCTCAGCCTCCTGAGTGCTGGGATTACAGGCATGCGCCACCACACCTGGCTGGTCCTTCTGAAGCCAGTATGATTAGCAACTTGCCCCAGTGGCTTAGCTTGGGAGTGGGGGCAGAAATTCTTTGCCCACCATCCAGGAAGTAATACACAGGGTCCTGTTGAAATCTTATTTTTTATGCCTTTAGCCTTCAGAGTAGGTGTAAATGCTGCCAGACAAGTGTCAGCCTGCTTTCCAAGGGTCTTGTTTCCTGGTGAGAAATGATTCTATCCCCAGGTTATTACATAGTGTCCAGGTTGCTCATTACTTTCCTGCTACATCAAGTGGAAGAGGCAAAGATGCAGAGGCTGCATCGCCTTCTTCCCCTGTGACACCTGTCCCTGCACTCAGTTCCTTACATTTCAGGGAGCTTCTCAGACCATGTTTTTTTTTTTGCCTTTTGGACCCTGCCATTTCCTCAGAGGCCTTCAAACCTCATTTCTTTTTTCTTTTTTTTTGAGACAGGGTCTCACTATGTAGTAGAGAATGACCTGGAACTCACTATGTAGCCCAGGCTGGTCTCAAACTCACAGCGATCCTCCTGCCTCAGCCTCCTGAGTGCTGGGATTACAGGTGTGTGTCACCATACCTGGCTTCAAACCTCATTTCTTCCCTAAAACCTTGAGGTACGATTCCTTCTCTGTCCAGAAATGTTATGCAGTATGTATTGTAGAATTCTTTTTTTTTTTTTTTTTTTGGTACCAGGGATTGAACTCGGGATCTTATGCTTACCAGGAAGGCAGCGGCACCCCTGAGCTAAATCCCTGGCCTTGCAAAATTATTCTTTGTAGAGTATTTATTGGATCTAGACTCCTAAGTTATTAAGAAATGAGACCAGGACCTTAGTTTATAAATTACATGTGGAGATTAGATAATATTAGTAATGGAAAAGCTACTAAAATATATCTATATTATGTGAACAGTCTACTGTAATATGTATTTAAAGACCAGTGTTGTGCTTTTTAATGTTTTGCTT